CGCCTGCCCGCCGCGCCATCGCGCCTGCCTCCGCTCTCGCCCGCCGCACCGCCGTCCGCCATCCGCCAGCAGCCTATCCGGGTCGGGTCGTGTGAAACCGGCAACCCGCCGGGTCGGGTCCGGGTTCGGTTTTTCGACCCGTTTGTCTACCCGGGTCGGGTTAGGGTTGACCCGTTTGAACCCGGGTCAGTTCCGGGTTCGACCCGAACCCGACCCGTGACCTGAAATTGACACCCCTAATTTAAACCATATAATTCATGAAACTCCTCCAACGGCTCCTCCAAACTTGCTCTATCATCCCCACAAGTCGAAGAACCATACCCATCCAGCCAATCAAATTGTAGGTGTTTTAACAACTACAGTAATATAGAAAAAATGATGCGAAAGACTATTTTAATAATAGTGAAAGATCATAACTCTATCTTCTTATAAAAATTATTACATTCTACCTTTAGCCAAAATAGCCCTTATTCTTTAATCCATAAAATTAAGCTCTTTATTAAGATTTCAATGATTCCTAATTACTATGATAATTGCTAATTATCCTAATTATTCAACATGAGATATATATATAGAACAGTGCAGATATTAGCATCACCTCATCACATGAAATGCAAAGGCCAAAGAGCAGCCACTTAAGCTAGGAAGGAAAAAAGAAAAAGCAGAGGCCACCGGATATCTTGCACAACCACGCATCAGCCTTTCAGTCAACATCAGATGGTTGTCTCTACCTTCCATCGATTTATTTAATCCTTTTTATTTACATATCTGATTAAGTGGGTCCACCTACTTCTTCAAAATTTGCTGTATATTCTTTACAATGTGTGTGCTCCTTAATTCAGTAATTAAAAAATTATTATAATTATTATGATAATATGATCTACATATAGAATTATTTTTGCATCAAATTTTTATTATTTGACACTTAAATTTTCATGCATATATTCATACGCCGCCAAAAATCACTTTCATCGAGCTGTAATCTCATGATATATTTGAATGGGGCAATTTCAAAATTAAATTTGGGACCATCGGTATTTTGATCTCAGCGAACTTACAATCAAATTGAAAGTCTTGACAAAACAAACCCAATGACACCAAAATTTGGCCCAATTCAAGTCTAAGTGAGCTCGAGCCAATGGATTGAAACATAATTGGAAGATTTAAAGTATTAATTGAGTAATCAAATAATCTCCAAATATGATATGCTTATTGTTGAATTGAGCTATTCGATTAGACGAATCCAACGAGTCTAATATCAATTAATTTTGACATCATTAAGGCATTTAAATGCTTGAAAAAAGTTATATGATCTAATGAAGCAATGCATACCATTTGATGAATCACGCCAACTTTGCCTTAGATTTTTTCTATATTTGTACGGCATGTCATTCTAAAAAATCTATAAATAGGCATTTTTTTCTTCACATGATGGGGGGAGGAGGGAGGAGAAAGGGAGCTAGAGAACTCTCTTGTATTTTCTAGTTATCGTCGTCGACAATTACCATCAGCTATCTATACAGAACTCTCTTGTATTTTCCAGTTATTGTTAGAGAACGATGAACAAAATACAAAGAGAAATAGTAAATCAAAATTTGTTATAATATTATAAATCAAAATCAACATTATATATCAACACATTTTTATTTAATTTTTAATTTGAATTGAATTTTATGCCATAAATAACACCAATTATCATAAATAAATTACATATTAATATAAATTAAAAACCAATAGTATTTTTTTATTATTAAAGTCAATAAAAAAATCTTAATTAGTATTTTGTCGAGTTGTGTTACTCATGGCAAAAAAAATCAGCTTATCGTGGATTCGTGGTCAACCTTTCCTACCTCCTATAGAAAAAAAAAAAGGACGATAAAATCAAATGGGGGATCGTGGTCCCAAGGCGATCCGGTGCAAGCCAACGTACCATAATCTCAACTGTCGTGCAATAATAATTTATATCTACGCAGATTTACCGTACATCAGTGGCCATCGACACGCCGGATAAAAGTTCAAATTTACGGGCATTTGATGATTGAAAGAAAGCAAAGGAGGCGAACAAGATAAGGTGATGTTTGGGAATTTGATAATTGCCAGATCCGTTCAAAGAAGGACACTAAGGGAAATAAATAAGATTAAAATAAAAATAAAAAAAATCAAATTAGCGCTCACATTTCTCTGTTCTTTCCCTTAGTGGTAATGTTGGATTTTAGTTATAAAATATTTCCCGAATTATATTTTTATTTTTATTTTTGGTTAAAATCCACGGTATGAGCTTACGTGTTAAATAAAAGCAATGTTACAGATTCTTAATGAATTTAAAGCCCCCTAAAAATATAGCATTTAAAGTAAAACCTACAAATCTTCGATTCAGACTAATTACAAGAACAGAGACAAAACTCAAAAACTAAGCCCAGAAGAGAACAAGCAAACATCAAGGAAGCGCCGAACATGAAGCAACCAGAGGCATCATCACACAGGATCCCGGAACACAACACCCTGCAAAGAAGAGATAAAGCAAAGAACGCACCAAGATGCCAACCAGAACAAACCAGCCAATCAACAGCAAAAGAAAAACAAACCAGCACAAGAAAATAAAAAAACCCACCCAAACCGCAACAAAACAGCAACAGTCTCCCCAAACCCAAGATACAAAGCCGAGAAACATATAATCAACAGCCCAACTCATGAACCAAAACAGTCACATGAAACCAACTAAACAAATAGTCACTTCTTTAATTTATTCTAATCAGATTTAATAATGATAAATTTTTAAAATTTTAGATTATTTTAATCTCAAAATAAATTTTAAAATTCTAAATATATTCTAATTCATATATATATATAGAAAAAATGGGAGATTTACATACATATCACCATATAATATTCTATTTACATATTTAACGTACACCTAAAACTTTAATCTTACATGCATACCCCACATAGTTCATGTTCATATCAAATATGAATTGAAGAAATGAAATATATGAGTGGTAGGAAAGAAATATGAGTGATATATATTTGATGTTAAAATAATATGGATGATTGTAGCTAATTTAAAATTTCTGATGTTATAATATGTTAAAATAAGGATTGATATAAATACGTTGTATGTAAATTCCCTAGAAAATTTTATAGTGTAGTAGGAAGTTTGACTATAAGTTTGTTAAAGATCACTCAATTTGAATGTTTTCAAATTTAATTTTTTAGAATTTTAAATTTAAATATACATATAGATTAGTCTGATCAAAATGATTTTTGATGGATGAACAATTTCTAATTGATGAATAAAGATCTTATAATGCTTTCCTTATTTAATTTTTCTACATAATTTTTTTCTTATAATCATAATATTTTATATATTAATACTTAAATTTTATATTTATTATCTATCATTTTTATTTTTGTATTATATAAAAAATTATTAAAATCAATTTATTTAAAATAAAATATAAACTTGTATACATATATTAAGATATTATATAAATAAATATAAAAATAAGTAAGAAACCTATAATACAACCGGAGAAATTTGAGAACGCAAGGAGTAAGGGCCTCCTTCTTCCAAACTGTACAGTATAAATACAGGACCCTCGCCTCCGTTCACTCCGAGCTACCATTAAGATCAAAACCCCTCAAAATTTCCTGCAAGAACTGCTAGATAGCCGGTAAATCATCAAAGATGGGCGGCAGCAATGCTGTCAGCAACACCGTCGCCGGCGGAGGAAGCGGCAGAAAACTCCTGGAGATTCTCAACGTCAGGGTAATCGGTAGTGGCGAGAAGGTGGTGGTCCTCTCCCACGGCTTCGGAACCGACCAATCAGCCTGGAACAGAATCATCCCCTTCCTTCAACGCGACCATCGCATCGTCCTCTACGATCTTGTCTGCGCCGGCAGCGTCAACCCCGACCACTTCGACTTCCGCCGATACACCACCCTCGATGCCTACGCCGATGATCTCATCCTCATCATCGAATCCCTGAATATCAACTGCTGCTTCTTCGTCGGCCATTCCGTCTCCGCCATGATCGGCATCCTCGCCGCTATACGACGCCCGGATCTCTTTCTCAAACTCGTCCTCATCGGCGCCTCCCCGCGGTACTCTCTAACCCTAATTCCCATTTCTCCTAACTTTTTCCCCCTGATCGAACTTCGATCATAGAAAATTCTTCTAGGTTTTTGAACGATCGTGATTACCACGGGGGTTTTGACCAAGGGGATGCCGAGCAAGTGTTCGAAGCGATGGAGGCGAACTACGATGCGTGGGTGAGGGGATACGCTCCGCTAGCCGTCGGAGCTGATGTTCCGGCGGCGGTGAGGGAGTTTAGCCGCACGCTATTCAACATGCGACCGGACATCACTCTGTTCGTCTCTAAATCGGTGTTCAGTACTGATCTGCGAGGCGTGCTAGGGCTCGTGCGCGTACCCTGCTGCATCGTCCAGACTTCTCGCGACCAGTCTGTACCAATCTCGGTTGTCGCTCACCTCAAAGCTCATCTCGGCGGCCGCACCACCGTCGAGATTCTCAATACCGAAGGTCATCTTCCTCATCTCTCCGCCCCTGCCCTTCTAGCTCCCGTTCTCCGCCGTGCTCTGTCACGCTGATTTCAAAACCACCATCTCTCCGGCGATCGATCTAATCCGGAAGCCATGAAGTACTTCTAACGAATTAATGGCGTAACAATGAATGGTTTTTCTATATCTGTGATGATTGTTAATTCATAACTCTACTTAATGATTAAGTGCCTTATCATTATCCTCATCATTATCTCTATAGTCTATCGAATCTTTTATTTTATAAATTCTTATTTTTCCTTCCTAAGTATATTATTTATAAATTATTTTTATTCATTTATATGATCTTATTTTCCTATTTATCGTGAGGATTTAAATTGCAACGATTTGATTTCGCCGCATAAAGTGAAGTGAGGAGCTTTTAGAACAGAGAGTATTAACCTCTGGGGATTATGAGGGGATAATTATTTAATTTAAAATTAATTAAAAGTGAGGTTTGGATAAGAATCAAAGAGGTGTTGGGAGCCACTGATTGTCTGATCTGAGCTGTAAGATTGGCTAGTGGTGTTTTGAGTGGGGCTAAGGTGGTGACTGGTGATTGGCTCAATAAAGACGGAATAGGATAGCTAAGTTAAGAAAGGAAGCATGGGAGTTGGACCTTGTTTGAGTTGGACAATACCATTTGTCTTTTATGATATTATATAAATATATGTATTGAATATTGGATGATGACATGTTTATTTAATTCATTATATTTTAAGTTAATTATGATGAGATCATATTATCAATGTTTTTAAAATCGGATCCGACCAGCAGGTTCGACCGATTCAATCGTTAAACCGGTCTTGTGGTCTGTCCAGTTCATCCTAAGAATCGTTTATGCATCAAACCACCTAAAACCGGCCAAAATCGCAGGTTCAACTGGAAACCGTTGAATCGGTCACAGTTCTCTTGAACCAACCAGTTCAATTTTGAATTTTTTTGAATATTTAAATAATTTATTTTAAATATTAAGTAATATTTATAATTTAATTTTAAATTTGAAATGCTTAATTTTAAATTATATTAATTTAATTATTATAGTTATAACTTTTTTTCTGAATTTAATTTTAAATCAATTGACATTTTTTATTTTTTACTTGAGTATTTTTTTAAAGTAGGATTATTATTCTTTTCTCATGTTGGCTCCTCATGAAATATCGTGGTCATTATATATTGGAAAAATTGGGATGAGGATATTCTCGTTTCTTAGGGGTCTGAATAATTCTTTGATCTCAAATGAAGAACATTAATGAATCATTGGGCAACAACATTATGATGAGATGATAAACATTGAAATGTCTTTCCTAGTCAAGAATAATTATTCCAACATAATGAAGAATCACAATTTTTGAAATAGCATAAATTATAAGAAATATCTGTCTCTTTTAATTTTCCAATCATATAAAGGACAAATGCTGCAAGCTTCATGACTACTTAACATGCATCAAATAGAGGCAAAAGCCACCTAGTCCAAGAATCAATCTTTTGTAGTTAACCAAATCTCATATGTAGGGTTGTCAATATTTGACATGACCCGAAATCCGACACAAAAATTTCGGGTTCGGGTTGACCCATAATTAATTATTTCGCGTTCATCTGAATCAGGTCATGTCCATCTGTTCGTTATTCGTTTGTCGCATTCGTCAGCCATCACTTTGTTTGTCGTGTACGTCTGATCGGGTTGCGTTTATCGTTCGTCTGAAAGTCAATGCTAGTTGTTGCTGTTGTGCCTACCTGCCACTGCCACTATCGCAACCGGCATGCGTTTGGCTAATTAGCATCAATAGTTCAGCCCAAGATCATAAGTAACAACGATGATAAGAGGAGCTCATTGCTTGGCCATCCGGTCGTTGCCGGATGCCTGAGCTTAGCATGGGAACGGAGTCGAACCGAAAGCACTTCGACAGATTTACGAGTCGGTTCGTGTTGATCCGAACCCGAAGCAGATCGAGTTCGGGTTCGAAAAACTAATCCGTTTGCAAAACTTGGTCGAGTTCAAGTTGGGTCGAATAGTGCTGGATCAGTTTCAAATTTGACCCGACCTTGACCCCGACCCTTGACCTGATTTTGACAGTCATACTCATATGAAGGAACCATAAAAGATAAAGACGATAAGGACGAGGACAAATGCTTTCAAACACTCGACAAAAACCATCAAAAAAAATTGACTACAACTATAAGTGAACTTACTTAACTCGCGTATCAAATAGAGGATTTCAACATACAACCATTCATCCCGGCCTTCTTATTCTACGATAATCAACCTGTCATCCATATTGTCATTAATGATTGTTTTCACACAAGCTCTAAACATATAGAAATTGATTGTGACTTTATAAGAAAAAGCCTTGCAAATGGATTCGTCAAATAAATGCCTATATGGTCTAAGCTCCAACTCATCAACATTTTCACAATGCCATACCAAATAAGACACTTGTCTTCACTTTTATCCAAGATGACTGCCAAAGGATTTTTTAAATATTAGGGTTGTCAACCCCTTCCCCTTGGGAAGACTTTTGGTCTGTAAATCATAATTATTCATTTAAAATTTGATAAAAAGATTCATTTTTTTATATAATTTATATAATACTTGAGAGTAAATAGAAGCTTTAAAATATTAATTGAATTACTTAATACTAAAATATTTTTTAAATAATGGTGAAATAAATATTATATATTGTAAATTATTAATGAAAATTTGAAAATGTTAAAAATTATTATTATTATTTATTTGATAAGGAATTATTATTAATTTTTCTAATTATTGAATTTATTTCAGGAGATTTAATAATAATTATGTGCATTTTAATTACCTCGCATATTTGATATTTCCACTGAAAAATAAAAAAGTTTGAATGCCACACATGTGAATGATGTGACATTGCGAATGCAAGCTTAGCCCAGCCCACTAATATAAATCCAGGCCCAACTGCAAAAAGCCTAAGTGGAAACTCTCCGCCCAAACGTTGGAATTTTTACGCAGCTCTACGTTCAGATGCCAGTAAAATAGTGACACGTGTTCTCACTATTTACCGCGTGGCCCGACAACCACGATCCGGAACGGAGACGGGATTGCTATGTTTGCGTGTTGCTCGGTATTTGCTCGGTATTTGTTCGGTATTGGTCGATTTTGCTCGGCAATAACGAGAAATATCATTCTGTTAAGACCAATACCGAGCAATACCGAGTTTTTCTAGGTATTGCTCGGTATTGCTCGGTATTGGTCTTCACAGAGCGATATTTTTCATTATTGTCAAGCAATACCGAGCAATACGCGAACATAGCAATCCCGGGTCAAGTTGTCGGGCCGCGAGGTTTGAAGTAAGACCACGTGGCGACATGTTATTGGCGTCCGAAGGTAGAGCTACGTCAGATCACCTGACCTAATAATTGTTCCAAACGCTGACTATAAAAACGTTAAGGTGAGCATTAATGGATTCAGATAATCTCCTATCATTACTATGATAATTGCATAATGTTTAGATATCGACCTCACTCATTTATTTTATTTTGAATAACATTTTCTATTCAAAATTAATTTATTTTGAAAATAAATGAATATATTTAATTCAAACTATTTAAAATAGCTGAGAATGATGATTTCGCCTGATTCAATTATCATATAATAGTTAAGGATCACTTGATTTTTGGCAATTGGAAAATGAATCAATCAATCGATTTTATCTTATTCGGGCTCCATTTGGTATAACTTTTTTTATTGATTTCTAAAACAACTTTTTATAAAAAATATTTTATTTAATAAACTTTTCTACTAAAAAATTATTTGAGAAAGCAAAGAAATTACACTCTCCCTATACAGAAAAATGGCTTGCTGATTTTACCCAAGAGCAAAATCAATTTTTAGGGGGTATGGATTAGGCCATAAGCATTGGTTAATCATAGTTGTGACACTGTGTATATGCAACTATGTTGATAATGAGTTCTTAGGCTTTGTTTGGGACGGCAATTTTCCGTCTTCTTAAAACAACTTTTTAATAAAAAATTAAAATTTTTTAACTAGAAAGCTGCTTTAAAGAGCAATAAGAAAGCTGTTCCAAACGAAACCTTAGGTTTGGTTTGGAATAACTTTGTTCCTGTTTTTTTAATAAGAAA